TCTTTCTTGGATTCAAGTTCCTCAGCATATTCTTGTGAGCATTTAAGTAAGGCAAAACTTCATCCGTGTTGTTTAAAATGTATAGATGTGCCTGCATTACAACTTCTCTTGACATAGACCTCACTATGACACCCCGTGTTCCCTTGCTTCTTCTCCCCTGATCATGTCGAGATTGAGGAAGACCAACTGCCTTTACCCTATCAAGATATGCGTTACAAAACTCAACTGCCTCCTCAACTACATATCTCTCAACAATTGATGCCTCAGGCCGATAAGGATTCTTAGAGTACCCTTTTAGGATTTTCATGTATCTCTCAAAAGGGTACATCCATCTTAAACACACAGGGCCACAAAGTCTTATCTCTCGTACAAGATGAGCTATCAAGTGGACCATAATATCAAAAAATGATGGAGGAAAATGCATTTCCAATTGAGAGAGTTCATTTTCTAATTCATCCAACTCAGCAGGATCAATGACTTTGCTGCAAATGGCACTAAAAAACATACAAAGTCTTGTAATAGTATTTCTCACATCGGTTTTCATAATGCCTCGAATAGCAAGTGGAAGTAATTGTTGCATCAACACATGACAATCATGAGACTTCATTCCCGTTATCTTCAAATCTTGCATTGAAACAAGTTTGCTTAAATTAGAAGAATAACCTTGTGGCACCTTAATACTATTGACAAAACCACAGAAACTTCTTTTCTCTTCTTTTGATAATGTGTGCGCAGCTGGATGTAAATAAGCCTTCTTACCATCTCTTTCTTGTGGGTGAAGGACATTTCTTATTCCAATTTCGACTAAGTCTCGTCTTGTATTGATTCCATCTTTAGTCTTTCCACTTATATGCAAAAGTGTACCAACAAGGCTCTCACATACATTCTTCTCCACATGCATCACATCTAGACTATGCCTCACATCAAGACTTTGCCAATATGGAAGATCAAAAAAGACAGATCTTTTTTTCCATATATTTCTCTCACCGACAGTCTTCTTCTTCTTCTTCTTACCGAAGACCACATTAATTCCCTCCACCCGCTGATAAACTTCTTCTCCAGTTAATGGTCTTGGAGCCATTTCATATTCTTGTGAGCCATTAAATGCCTTTTTCAATCTACGGTAAGGGTGATACCGACTAAGAAACCTTCTGTGACCAAGGTATACTGTCTTCCTGCCATGTTTAAGTTGCATATAGTGGGTGCCTTCTTCGCATATCGGGCATGCTTTATGCCCCTTAACACTGTATCCTGACAAATTTCCATATGCTGGAAAGTCATTTATCGTGGTGAAGATCATGGCACGTAAATTGAAGGTCTCTTGTTTATATGCATCAAACACATCAACACCTTCCTCCCATAATTTCTTCAGATCCTCAATCAAAGGTGCCAAATACACATCGATATCGTTTCCCGTTGTTTTGGCCCCGAGATCATCAAAGATAGCATGATATACTTTCTTTTCATACATAACCAAGGAGGCAAGTTGTAAATTACGAGGAGCACTGGCCAAGCACTGTGTGTGCTACTAAGATTACCATATGGGTTAATTCCATCCGTACAAAGCCCTAGCCGAAGGTTTCTTGGCTCGCCACCAAATTGAGGAAATTTTTGATCTATTGTTTTCCATTGAGGAGAATCTGCTGGGTGACGAAGCTTTCCATCACATATTTTCTCATCGAAATGCCATCTCAAGTTCTTTGCATCTGTGGCATTAGCAAATAGATGCTTAAATCGTGGTATTATTGGAAGATACCACAGAACCTTTGAAGGAGAACCTTTGGTCATCTCATTATAATCACCATCATCTTTCTTCATTTTGTATCTTGAAGTCCCACATTTAGGGCACTTATTCAACCCTTCATAATCATTTCTGAATAATATGCAGTCATTAAGACACGCATGTATCTTCTCATATTCCAAACCCATCGGACACAAAATCTTTTTTGCCTCATACATTCGTTTCGGAAGTGAATTCCCTTTGGGAAGAATATCACTCAGCAATTCAAGCAATTCCGTAAAACTAGCATCGGTCCAACCATTTCTTGCCTTCAAATTCATTAGTTTCAATACGGTTGTCAATCTTGTGTAATCATCTTTGCACCCTGGGTATAAAGGTGTCTCTGCATCACTACACAAAGTTTCAAAGGTGGAAGAAAACTGTGTAGAGGATTCAGACCTTATATCACGAAACATATCTGAAATTCTATCACCAAAGTCTTCTTGATGCCATATCCAATTTGTATACCTCAAATTTATCCCATCACAGATAAGATGCTCTTTTATCTCAGAAATACTCCGTCGACTATTGTTTAAACATTTGACACAAGACAATAGTACAATCCATCTTTTTACTAGGGGCATTTCTCTAAGCAAACTCAAGAAACTTTTCAACCCCATCCTCATATTCCTTGCTAATTCTCTTAGCTTTCATCCAACTACGATCCATTGTTCTACAGATTATTTAAACACTTTACTATCAATCAAAATTCATAACGAAGAAAAAAACCACAAAATAACAAACAGATTATTTATTACTAAATTCTTATATTTATTACAAGAAAATTACCAAAAATTCGAAATAAATATCAAAAAATTATAAAAAAATTTAAAAACTTCACAACTAGTAACTCCAAACATTTAAACATGTTTCTAATACAGTATATAAGAAGGAATTAAGGTTTTCTCACATCCAATACCCACCAATCAACACCAATCCACAGTTCAACCACATAGAAAATGCAAAATGAACAATACAAGCCAATCATAATGTAAAACTAACAAACTCATTTCATATATAACAGATTTTCATGGCCAAAATATTCAATAAAACAAAAAAAAATTGAAAAGAATGAAAGAAGAGGATACTCACAGAGAGCAGAGAAGACTCAAACGCGAAGTGAGGGCTTCAAACGGCGGCGGACGGCGGCGAACGGCGGTGGACGCACCACAAGCTCAATGCAGGAGTTTCAATGGTGGGATAGTGTGGGGTATGACCGGTTTTCGGTGGTGGGATGGAGAGGACCGCGGCTGAGCAAGAATGAGGCGAAATGAGAGGCGTTCGGACGGCGGTAAGGCACCGCAAGCTCAATGGAGGAGTTTAAACGGTGGGATAGTGGCGGGAATGGCCGGTAATAACAGTTTTTCGGTGGTGGGGCAGAGGGGGACCACGGCGCACTGAAGAAATGAGAAAGAAAGTGAAGCAACTCGAGCGCCGCGGGTTTAGAAGAACACACTTTCCATGGCGGTTTTCTTAAAAACCGCCGTGGAAAGTTTAGCCCCTCTTCATTTTATTTACAAAAATGACACCGCCTTTTTTTCCACGTCGTTTTTCTGCTTAACCGCCGTTATTTTGCAACGTTAAAAGTCTTTTTTCTAGTAGTGATAATATAATAATCTCCCATTAATATGGAAAAAAAAGACAACAAACATGTCAGGAAAATGTGGATGTGTGAGGGAGTAATTTACACTAAGTTTCCGTTAAATATTTATTTCAAGGATGATACGGACAGGTCAATGGTCAAAGTATTCGCCTTCTACGACAATTCTCTGGAGAAATAAATATGTACGATTACCATTAGATGGCTCGAGATTCTTTTTATCAAAACATTACGAGGAAATAAAACTCAGTATTAGTTTATAAGATGATGGTGTTAAAACTATTAAAATATAAAGTTAATGTAAAGTCATAATACTAATTATTATGATGCATAATTTTGCTCCTTTTATTACTAAATAGAAACGTTGAAGTATAGCTGGGGGAAAAAACACTCATAAAGGTCTAAACTCTAGCTGCTTGGGGTAAGTGCTAAGTGGACCTCACGCCATAAGTCACTCCTTTGCCTCTTTTTCTAATTACAAGTCCTTTGCGGTTAATCCATCCCTACTCATCTCATTGTTTCTTGGGATTTTTTTTTTTGCAAAAAAATTTATAAAATCTATTCTGTAGTGAAAAGGGATCTTATATTTAGAATTAGAGGGATAAAATACTATCTTAAGATACTTCATGCATTAATATGTACGTGGCCTATCCCTAAATAATGGAAAAAGTATAGATGTGAATAATTGCGATGATCATGTTTAGTTTAAATTTGTAGGTTATTGTTGTGTATCCCCTCTTAATTTGCAAGAGATGACGAATTTTGATTATTTACAAAAGAAAAATTAGCCATGAGTCTTGGATCAACCAGAAAAAGCTTGTTGCTTCTCAGTCGGTAGGTCCCACCCAACATTGTATCCAAATGCCAAAGGATGCTTCCCTCTCAATTATCACCAAATTTTAACGTTGTTAGGTTCTTTAGTCTAAAGTGCAATTCTTGCTTTTGATGTTCATGGAAAAGCCTCAACCATATTTAATTTGATAGAAACTTAAACTATTATTACATGTGAGATGCCAGTTGCCTTCTTTTAATTCTCTTTTCTTTTTGGCTGTCTCTTAATTTTTTCTGATTTTCAAAATATTATTTTCTTTTTTATTACCAAATTATATGTAAAATGAGTCACATTTAAAAGTTTATGAACAAGAAATGGTATAATTTTGAATTTTTTACATTTTTAAAGAAAAAATATTCTAAAATTGTTTAGTTTCTTATCTAAAAATCATAAGAAAAAAAATCAAAAACTACATTTTTTTTTTTTTGCCCATAAAATATCAAAATGTCATTTACTTTTTTTTTTGTTAAGAATCTAGTGACAAAAAGTAAGAAAATGCATTTAGGAAGTGATGAAAAACTAAAAAGAAGCTAAGAGGGAGCAGCGGACACCCAAATCTATGGTTACTAGGAAGGGCAAGAGATGTTGAAGGAACATATGAAGATGAAAGGGGTTTAGCTAATAAGGTTTATCATAGGTTTCTGATTGGGCTTGGGCACTCACTCTTTACCAAAAACAAAACTCTCCGTCACACAAGAAAACTAAACAAGAATGAATTAATTAGCATTTTGCATTAGGGAAGTTCAATAAGAAAAAAAAAGATATATATATGTGTGTATATATATATATATATATATAAAGACAATGCTGTGCATTGTGCTAATTACACATCACATTTAAACTGCAAAACAGAGGAACTAATTAGCACATGTAAATTCTTCTCCACATTTCACGTTAGATTTTCCTTCTTCAAATAATATCTACTCGTTTATGAAAGATTGCAGTTTCATGCTTGTTTTCCAACCTACATTCTAATCAAATTATATGGAGTTGGAATTCTTGAGAAGCCTACCGGATGAAGAGAAATCTTTATCACACGGAAGAGAAACAGAGGAATCAAACCATTGAGCCATCCATTACTTTGAACCCTTTCTTCACACTTTTATATGAGAATGCAGAAGCAGCTAAGGTTTAACTACTACAATTGTATTGTGATGATGCACAATCCGTTGCTTCAATCATTTGCTTCACATTTTCATGTGATTTTGATATAGAAGAAGAACTAAAGGTTTGGGTATGGCTTTCTTGAGATGATTGTATCTCCAAGGCCTTGAATCTGGAAACCTGTTGATCACTCTCTCGACGTAGGGCTTGGATTGGCAACTTTCCTTCAAGCATGCAAACGACAGAGGCCATGGATGGCCTCAGAGTTGGAGATGGGTTAGTACATAGGAGTGCCAGCTCCAGCATTCTCATGACTTCTTGTGAGGAGTAGCTTGAACCAAGACATGGATCCACTAGCTCAAGCAGGTTTCCTTGCTCTTGAAGAACATAGGCCTTCAATTACATGAAGGTATATATGCAGTTGTTAGAAATTCAATCAAACCATTGATTTTATAAAGAATGTTGTACATATCACTAACCCAGTCAAGAAGGTAAACAAACTCCTCTTTTGGCCTGTAAACTTGTGTTGCTTTTCCACTGGCAACTTCTAAGGCAACAACTCCAAAACTATAAACATCTGCTTTGTCAGTCAAGTATCCTCGCATTGCATATTCAGGAGCCATATAACCACTAGTAAGAAAAAACATACAATGTTAATAATCAAGTCATGAAACAAAGAATGTGCAAGGAAAGTGAAAGAAGAAAAAACCTATTAATATTATTACTAAACCAAATATGAGAATTATATTGATCCAGTGAAAAAGATGTAGTAGAATATATACTGACATTGTTCCTGCTATTCTTGTGCTTATATGAGTATTCTCATCTTCATTAAGTTTGGCTAATCCAAAATCCGAGATCTTGGCATTCAAATCTTTATCAAGTAAGACATTTGTTGCCTTAATATCTCTATGCACAATTTTCAGCCTTGATTCCTCATGAAGATAAGCTAATCCTCTTGCTATTTCTACGCATATCTTCATTCTTGTAGGCCAGTCTAAGTGCATCTTTTTTCCTTGGCCACCTATCATTAATATTAATGGTATATTAGTTAATAACAAACTACTATCAAGTCATTCAATAAAAATTAAATATTTGTAGAAGTTGTTTCAAACTATTAAATGTATTTGAATTAGGAAAAAAAAAGCCTAAAATACAGCATCTAAATTTTGTCTTTTAAAAAAAGATATAACTAAAAGTTGTTGGCAAATAATATAAGCAAGATTTTACATTTGTATGATAAGCGATGTAATACTGTAACACACACACACACAATAAGAGTATGTATATCAAAACAATTTTCTATTTGTTTATACTCAATCAATTTTATCTTTTCCTTATAATATATTAATACTAAATATATGGTATTCCTCTTATCCTTAATACAAAACCTAATTACTAAGTTAATTTTGGTCCTAAGTATAGATGTATTTCTTATATTTATCAATTTTTTTTAGATTATTCTATCAACCATAATTAAGTAGAAAAGAGACGGATGATATTAAGAAAGATAATTATGGTATTTTAAAAAAAATGCCATACTTCTTATAATTAACTAGTTTACTTAACTTTGTTAATCTAATCAAATTAATTAAATGGGTTTTATATGAAGGACGGGAGGAGTAATTTTTTATTGTAAAAAAAAATCAAGTTCTTACCAAAAAGAGCACTAGCAAGACAATTGTTCTCCATATACTCATATATCAGCAACAATTGGTTTCCTTCAACGCAACATCCATAAAGCTTTACAAGATTTGGATGTTGCAAAGCAGATATCATTCCAATTTCATTAACAAATTCACGATTCCCTTGCTTTGATTTAGAGGAAAGCTGTTTCACAGCTATGACAACACCATTTGAAAGTATACCCTGCAATTCAATGAATTATCTAGTCTCAATTTTCATAATCTTCCTTAGATCAACACACACCAAAATTTTAATCTCTTTATAAGTGTATTCGGTACGCTATTTAATCATGTAATCTTGGTTAAATATAAATATGATACATTAAAAATCACCTTGTACACCGGTCCAAAACCTCCTTCACCGATCTTATTTTCTAGGGCGAAGTTATTAGTGGCATCTTTGATTTGTTTCAAAGAGAAATAACCCGTCTTTAGATCCAAAAGTTCTGCATCAAAAATAAAAGTTACATAAATACAAAGCAAAATACATTGAAATTACAAGAAACTTGGAAATAATTATGTATATGCAAAAATCATTATTTATCCATTTGACTTGCATGATAGAATTCAGGCATATAAAAAAAAAAATTCACTATATTATACCAAATGATCAATAGATATACCAGTTTTGTTAATTTTGATTTTGATCTTACGTTTGTCTTTTGAATTGCTGCCACCTAGTAAGCCCATTTTTCGGAGGACGAATATTATTACTATTAGTATGATGAGGAACACACATGACCCAACCACAATTCCAGCAATGACTCCACCAGAAATCCAAGAAATTTTGAAATCTATATGACAAAAAAGTAGTAATAGTTATGATTCATATCAAAGTCAAAAGCATCATCTCTTAGCTTAAGCTAGAAAGAGTATAAACCAATAAATATGAGATTTGACTTACTTGGGGTGACTGAAATAGCAGATATAAGAGGTCCATACACACCATTATCATAAGGAATAGAGGTAGTTCCCTTTCCAGCCCAGTACAGATGAATCTCCAAGGTGTTATCTTTAACATGAACATTAAAGTCCTTGACAATGCCCTTACCAACGCCGCCAGCTTCCCTCATAATGTTGAAATCATGCAAATAGTTCTTACCCTGTCAAGATGTACATACAAAGGTTTCACCTTTCAAAACTTTTGTTAACATACGCAGTGAAAACAATTGAAAGCATGTTAAATCATTATATATAGTAATAGTACTTGTCTTTATAATGAGAAATTCTTGCATACTCCTCGAGTGTCACATAATCCATGCTCCATCGATGAAAATGCTCCAGGTGTCCTTTCTTATGGATCCCACAAATTTTTTATCATTATAGGTCATGGAGGGATAAAAATAATCAAGAGAAATTTGTGGGATACACTTGAAACATTTTCATTGGAGAGGGTACTGATGACGGGGCATTCCAAGAGGATGTAAGTATTTCTCATTTATAATTAGCCATTTGGCCACCCATTAAAGAGATAAATAAACATAGTGGTGAGCTTACTTGATAGTGACACGTCCCACAATATTTATTTCTCTTCAACTGTATGGCTTCATGGGTAGAGAGTCTTATTTTCTTACTATTCATGGAATTCTCTAATCATTAGGGGGAAAAAAAATAAATTCAACATAGTGAGACTTACTTGGATTGAAACATCAAATACGCGCCTTCCAGTGTGATAGAAATTTTGGTCAGAAGAATACATAATCTCAGCAAAATATAGCTTGACTTTATAATGTCCATTAATCATACAGAGGCCATGGTACTTGAGAGACAGAGGAGAAACGCGAGCTGTTTGGTAGAGGTCAGAACTAGTGTTGAGGGAATATATGTTTGTTACTATGTAACTATCATAGTAATATACTCCTGCTGTGTTGCTATAAGCCCATTTATCTTCATTAGGAAAGAATGAGTCATCGCCAGGATTGTTGTCTCCTTCATATTTATTCCCCTTATATTCAATATCTTTTCCTCCACAGTTTATGAACAATGAATGATCTACATATAGGGACAACCTCTTCAAAAATCACCTCTATAAGAGAATCCAAATGATCAAATTCATAAGATCATGATCTCTCTATATATATTGTCATATGATATTGATAGTCATTTTACCATTACGTTCACTAAAATCTACATTATTTAGTTAAAAATCTTGAAAAGGTTTGTGAAAGAAAAATAAAATACAACTAAAAAAACATAACGTCATGGGAAACTCCGAAATAAGCAAGAAGACACTCACATTTGGGTTTTCCTTTACAAGGAAGGCCCCTTTTTAGGCAAGTATGCCTGCAAGATGAATAAAAGTTACAAAACATGAATCAAAAGCATTTAGAATGAGTGAAACAAGAGCCAGAAGTGTAATCTTACGAGGTGTTTGCTGTAGATGATAGACTAGAAACTAGGTTTCTGTATAACCAAAAAAAGGAAAAGGCTTACAGTTGTTGCATAATGTCTTTAAGAACAAGAAAAAAGTAGTTTGGAGTTGGAGAAGAGGAGCTCACATATCTCCATACTGACAAGTAGTCGCAGAAGTCTCTAAAAAATTGTTGTAAGAGAAATCACTACAATAGAAAGTAGTGTGAAATTACACGTAAGTTTTTTCCTTTTTATATATACATATATACATATATATATATATATATATTATTAGCTAAAGTTTAGACGAGTTGGTTGGCCAGGCTCTTCTTCTTATCATTACATGCTGTTTTATTGTCATTGGGACTTATATTCCTTCCTTGAGATTTCATAACAATTCTCTCAAATTTTTTCATATGTCAAAGCTCAAATCAAAATGACATTATGCAAAGGGGATTAACTAAAAATGATGAGAGATTTAAAGGCTAAAGATGTTTTTGTCAATAAGATTTATGGTAATTAATTTCAAATAGGAATGGCATTGAACTATATTTAGTAATGACAAATAAAATTAAACTATTTTACTAATTATAATTTTGCCGTCGCAATATCCAATCAGGAATATTTCCAGTCAGAGAATTCTCGTTTAGAAACCTACATAAATAATTAATAAAGATCCATTAAAAAAAGAGCAATTAAGTTTTAAAAAAAAACAAAATCAAGTTATATATGTGTGTAGAATGCTCCCTTACATGTAATTTAGGTAGCTCAAGCTACTTATACTATTTGGGATTTTACCGGTCAACTTGTTGAAGCTCAAATCTCTGCAATTAATACACGGGGCCACAAATATTGCTTCATAAAAATAACTGAAAAACAATACTGCTAGTAATAAATAGTCCATAATAAAACTGCAATTAATACATGAGGCCACAAATATTGCTTCATAAAAATATCTGAAAAAATAATATTGCTAGTAATGAATAGTCCATAATAAAAGCAAGTAGCTCTAAGTTAGGAATCAGGTTGTCGATTAAACATTAAATTGGGAATAGTATTTAGAGGATTTTGGATTCGTAGTTTGAGGATGAAGTAACTTACACTTTATATAATTTTTCCATTTTACCAATATAATTTGGAATGGAATCATGGATGGAGCAATTTCTCAACACCCTAAGAGAAAAACAAAGTATGAAAATTCATTGAGAATATATATATAGCTCATTTTTTATTAACAAATTCTCAACTTACAGGTATTCCAATGACTTCAAATTTGTCAAATTAGGAAATCTCATTATCGCTGGTCCATGCAAATCAGATATCATGCTGAATCAAAAATTAAATAAAAAAAAGTATCAATGACAAGAAAATATTCTTCTGTTGAAATTGAATTTCATAACCATCAAGCAGTATGCGGATGAATTACAAAAGACCAAGTACTCACAAAGAAGACAAATTTGTTAAGTGAGATATGGTTGTAGGAATGGGGCCTTCCATGGACGTTCCCTGCAAATGCCTGCCCAAATATGTTTTTTTTTTTAGAGTTATTTGGGGTCCTAGAAAAATATATAAATCCAAATGACAAGTGATCAACATAAATCTATGGGCATTTTTCTACTAAATCTTATCACTACTCGTTGCTTAATTGTTGTTGTCTGAATTTTTAGTGATTACATTCTTTTGTTGGAGTCCTATAATAATTCTCTCTTTTTTCTTTGTTTTCAACAATATCCAACAAATTAAATAGAGCAATATAATGGAATGGAGGAGTAATTAAAAATAAAAGCACTGAACTTCATCAAGCTTGTTAATCAAAGTTCATAAGGTAGCATCTTATCTAAAAGGAAAGCATTATGATAGATAGTATATTAGACTCACATTGTTTGGAGTTGGGTCCAGTTCCCAATAAAATTGGGTAATTTTCCTGATATGTTGGTGCCATCTAAAGAGCTGCAAAAGTGTTAGGAGAGAAACTTTAGAATTTAAAAGAGACCAACACAACATCAAAAATAAAATATAATGAAATGATTAAATCATATTATACCACTCACATATATTCTAGTTTTTTCATATTACCAAAACTTTCAGGTATTGCCCCTAAGAAGTTATTTCCAGAAAGATCCCTACAAGTTCCAAATCCTTAGAAACAAATAACACATCCAAAAGCAATATGAAAAATTATCTATAACAAGACTAATGTCGTAGTCACAATGCAACTAATAAGATAAAAGAAAATTATTTGCACTTGAAATAATATTCTTACAACATGCGTAGCTGCGTCAATTTTCCGAGACTAGAAGGAAGAGTTCCTTCCAACAGGTTATCTTCCAAATCTCTGTAGAGAGTAGCAAAAACCATAAAATTATTTCTCAATACAACAATAAGTTTTTAAAACTCAATGTGTAATGATTTATACTTACAAAACCTCTAAAGTTGTAATTTCACCAAAAGCGTTTGGAATTGAACCACTGATTGCGTTAGCCGTAAGACGTCTATGACGTGTGTTTAAGAGATGAACAATGCATAGGGTCAAATAATTTGAGCTTGTATATACAGAAGCATGCATGAATAACATACATGAAAATAACCATATATATATATATATATTCATTCACAACTCCATGATTACTTACAATGTAACAAGAGGGAGTCTAGCAAAGCTCCTTGGGATTGATCCATTTAGATAATTGTGAGACAAATCACTGTGCCGTATATAAAAGTTACATTTTAGATCACAAATTCTCATATTTCAACTAAGCATACACACACACACACACACATATTTTAACCAATAATAAAATTAAAAAAAAATTTCATTACTTACAGTTCTTGCAGATAAGTAAGGAATCCAAATTCACTTGGTAAAAGTCCCGATAAATTGAGACCCGTGGCAATGCTATCATAAAAGAAAACACATTACTACAACTATTTACACAGAGCTAAAATAAAATAAGTTGTGTTATAATTAGCGCCAATATGTTGGCCAAAAAAAATAGCACCAATATGCATTTGAATATTAATTTTATTCCGACGCAGCCAGAGCTAACTTATTCTAAATATCATAGAAATGTATCTCAATATCAAATCAACTAGTTTCAAATCAAGAAAGGAATAAAAAATAATAGAGAAAACTTTTCGACATTATTTGTAACTCGTTAAACACAACTTATTAATTCAGATTGGAGCTTGATTCGTATCCAAATTGAAAGGGTTACATTATAACCATATACATAGATGAACTTACATATTTGTAACATGACAAACTTTGCCAAATGAGAAACTGCAATTGCATGTTACATTCGTCACGCTATTTGCTGTATTAAAGGCCTCATTTTTGAATCCTTCATCGACACAGGAACGGGGGGTCGCATTCCATTTCAAGTTCTCTATCTTCGATGATATTGTTTTTAGAACTTTCACTGCATCAAACACAATTCAGTTTTTTCAAAAAATAAAAAGTAAAAGTAAAAACCATGCACCATAAAGTAAGAACCTCAACATCTATATTTTATGTTCATAGACATCTGTAATCCTTATATGTATGTATAAAGAAATTTCAAAGTACTTGCCGTACGTGGCCCACTTCGTTTATTTTTGACATGTATTGGTATGTTGATATTGATGAACATGTCCAACAAAATTTGTTTTGGGGCCAACAACTTGTCCAACATATGGATCACGCAAAGATAGTTCAAATTCAATTTAAAATGCTAGTAATGGCTAAGCCTATAAACTTGAGCCATCGTAAATACCTATCTATTTTTTTTAAAAATCTTATCTTGATTCTTATCCAGAACAGCATCAGTGATGCCAAATATGAGAGCAGAAATCACGTTTTCCCTAATATGCACATCGACACTAAATATGAAAGTATTTTTTAATAAGCCAAAATACACAAAATTTCCTAAACTTTAAGTCAATTGCACATTACCTCCCTAACCTTTAAAAGTTTAAATTAAGGACCCTGATATTTAATATTTTGACCATAAACTCCCCTACCATTAAAGTTGCTATTAACATTAACAGTTTTTGTCAAGTCATATTTTTTATATTTTTTTATTATATACCATTTCATTTAAAAAAAGAGATTACTAAGCTTTATTCATCTATCCAGGTTGGCAAAAAAATATGATTGATTACTTATATATGGTTCTTTGAATGGAATATGTTCGTCGTTAGATAACCAAACTGTGCAAACGAGAAGAGTGAATTTAATCTTAGCATTAAATTAAAGTATTGACAAATAATGAGTAAAAGAAATCACTATAGTTTTCAACCATTGGAATCTTGTTGGCCAAAAAAGAAAAGAAAAAAAAAAAAGAAAGAAGGAAGGAAAACGTTCGAATCAATTTAATTACTTAGTTCCCTCTTTTTTTTTTGGTGGGTGGGATCAAGTCTCGAAAGTGATGACGGTTTTTTTTATCACTGCTTTGTTCAAGATCAACCATCATGTTCAGCCCTTTCTTTTGTGTGATTTTCTTTGGACAGTAAGAAAACAAATGGAAATGGAAGAATTGATCATAATGCTAAATAAAGTAATATATATATATATATATATATATATTAAGGAGTAAGAAATATAGAAAGGGCTTAATTAAGAAACCTTCATCTTCTGGTATGAGTTGAGCAGTGGATCCATAGTTTGTGAAAGCTTCCAAACCGAAGCATCCAAATAAGAAAAGATATAAAAGTTTAGAGATTGAGATCCCAAACTCCATTTATGTTGGCTGTTGCAGTTTGGAGAGAATAACTCTGTGAGGGAGCGAAGTAAGGAGGAGGAGGAAGAAGCAGCTTGCAGAATCACGTAGTAGCAAAGCACAAGAGATAAAAGGAGAAGCTAAGGATGTTGCAGTAGAAATAGTGGCAAGAAGAAAAGAAAAGCAAGTCAAGATTTCTACAAGTCTTCTACTTTTTTGCAAAGTAACAAAAGGCATTTCTCTTGTGTGAAAAAGAGGTAACAAAGCTGTTGATATTTTGGCAGGATGAACCACAATGAGTGGCTAGCCTATGCCCCGTCGTGTTTTTAGCTCATGACGCGACCAAAGGAAGGGAATCCAAGGGTAGTGTAGGTACTTGCAAGGCTCCAAGGGAAGGCATTGGCTGACGTGGTCCATGTTTCTTTTTCTTTTTCTTTTTTTTTTACCTGAATCCGTGTTTCTAGTTGGGTTCTAATTGTTTTTGTCTTGTTTGTTTTTTTTATTTCCAGTATTTTGTGTGTTTGGTTGTATCTTAGGTTTTTAGAAAAATAACAAATAAAAAAGGTAGAATATATGATATTTCAATTTGAGAAGTTAAGAAAATATAATGATAGAGAGGAAAATCCTTTCCAAATTGAAATTTTGAAATTCACTGAAATGATAAAAATACTTTGACTTTTTTTTTTAAAAAAAGCTCAGCCCCTCATTGGCGATCGGCCACCTCCGACGGTGGGCCACCGTCATAGGGAGTCAGCAATGAACATTTTGTCACAGGTTTTTTTTTGGCATGGGAGAATAATTCAAGAAAGTAGTGGGGGTAGGATTTGATCCCACTAACACTTGGTTATTTTGGCCAACAAAAAGAAAGATGACTATTGGGCCACCAAATATTTCTTAAACATATAATGTAAACAAAAATATAAGTTAACTCTTTTACTGTGACTCCAATCCGTGACAACAATTTATCTAGGGATGACAAGTCTTAATTGAAAAATAATAAGTCTAAATTTGATATTAACAAATCAACTTTTCCTAGTACATAACAAGAAGTAGCATGTACATTAATTAAAAATTACCATAATTTATTTGAAAATGACATGTCGTTACTGGAAAATGACAAGTCTAAACTTAATATTAACAATGTATCTTTTCCTGATACATAACAAGAAATAACATGTACATTGATTAAAAATGACAATAATTTATTTGAAAATGACATATCTTTATTGGAAAATAACAAGTTTAAACTTGATATTAACAAAGCAACTTTTCCTGATACATAACAAGAAATAACATGTACATTTCCAAATAAATTGTTGTCATTTTCCACTAAAGACATGTCATTTTTCAGTAAAAATGTGTCATTTTCAAATAAATTATGGTCATTTTTAATTAACATATATGTTACTTTTTATTATGTATCAGGAAAAGTTGTTTTGTTAATATCAAATTTAGATTTGTTATTTTTTAATTAAAACTTGTCATCCCCAGGTAAATTGTTGTCATGGGCTGGAGTCACAGTAGAAGAGTCAACTTATATTTTTGTTTGTATTATAAGATTAAGAAATCTTTGATGGCCCAAATGGCCAAGGAGTAATGAGATCAAATCCCACCCCTACCACTTTCTTGTAATATTCTCCCAAGTCAAAAAAAAACTATGACAAAAAACCTTCACCTGTGGCCGGCGCAGGCATTAGTAGCAATGGCCGGCCGCCGATAGGTAGTCGTCAGTGGTGGCCGGCCACTGGTGAGGGGCTGAGCTATTTTTTAAAAAAAAAAAACAAAGGGTATATTTGTTATTTCACTGAATTTCAAAATTTTAATTTGGAAATGACTTTATTCTCTATCCTTACATTTCTTTAGCTTTTCAAATTAAAATATTATATGTTCTACCTTTTTTATCTGTTATTTTCTCTAGAATCTTATGTAAAGTTAAAGACAAAAGATATACTTTTGTTAAAGAGAGACTTTAAAAAAGAAAAAAAAAAGCAGATGATAATAATGATCTTATTAACCAGAAAACATAAAGTTAATGAAAATTGAGAGCCAAGTGTCAATAGAGTGTACGCCAAACTCACCATCAACAATCCTTGCTTTCCAAAAGGGGTTTGCAAAAATCTTTGCTTTCCAAAAGGGATTTGCGTTGATAACAATGAGGATGGAAACACTCTAAATTTAAAATTTTTTAATTTGTAATTTGTGATGATAATAAATTTATTTTTTAAAATGATAATTATAAAATTATCTTTAGGGTTAATGTTGATATATTATATGTGTCCAACAGGCTAAAAACTAAAATATACTTTAAAATGGTTGATGCACATTCATTTAATGAATTTTTTGAGGACTTAATAAAAAAAATTAAAAATTGCTCCTAAAAAGATATTTTAAGAATATAATTGATTCTGAAAAAATCAATACATCAAGGGCGAAATTGTGCCATTAAATATTTTAGTATGCTAAAAGGCTAAAAACATGTAAAGTTGGATGAGTTACAAAATACTTTAAGATACTCGATACATCTAAAAAGATATGTCAAAATGTTGGACGCACATTAATCCTTATTTTTATTTAGATTTCATATTTATCAAAAGTAAAACTTAAGTTTTCAAAAAATCTGAAAAAATGAGTAACGTGAAATATGAAGTTGTCCAAATTTAATTTAAATAACCCCACATTCATGGTAAAATAATATGAAGCCACATATGTAACTTTCAAGGTATTAAAAATTGAACAAGTTGGATAGGGCAAAACAATGGTTCAATAATCAAGGCCAAGGTTTGGTCATTGTTAAAATGGACTTAAGTAATTTAACATATGTTTAATTATTCAAATATTAACTTCAATAAGATATATTTTAAATCATAATAAAAAGTACAATATAAAAACTAAGCCTTTATTTGATTTCCTTTTTTCAAAACAATTTTCTTTTATAATTAATTTTCAGTTAAGTGTTTTGTAAAAGTAATAATAATCTGTTTTTAAAAATAAAAAATAAGAACAATTTTTTCCATGGAATTGTGATGGAACTTGTAAATTTTTCTTATAAGGTTATGTTAAAAGACCAAACCGAAATCAATGGATAAGGTTTTATTGCTGTTATAATATGTTAAAAACCCAAAATAAAATTCACGGTTTCCTTTAGCATAATTTACTTTTGATTTTGGTCTTTTAACATAATGTTCCCCAGAATTAATCATATATAAATTATTAAGGGTACAAATTATTGTGCAAACTCTAAATAATTGAAAGATGCTTCTAGATTCTAATTTTTCTAAAAATATTTTATGATATTAATTAATCATATACATTTTTTAAAAAAAAATCATTAATGGAAAAAAAAAGGGTTAAAACTCATACTCTTAAATTGCATGCTTCTTTCTTGTTATCATGAGTTCTTTTACACTTCTTTGGTCCTTAATATAAGACCCAATTGTTGAGTTGGTTTTAGTTCTAAATAGACTTATTTATCATATTTATCAATTTTCTCTAAATTACCCCTATGGATACTCCTTCAATCATAATTAAGTAAAAGAGGAAGATAGGATATTAAGAAAGATGATTATGGTATTTTAGGAAAAACATGTCAAATTTTTTATAATTAACTAACTTACCTAACTTTTTTAATCTAATCAAACTAGTTAAATAGGTCTTATATTAAAGATTGGAGAGTACTTAAAATGCTATATCATTTTTGAGGGGGAAAAGTTATCCTTCTTGTGATATTTTAATGATTATTACTCTTTATGAGTCTGAGTTATTTTACGCCGTCATTTCATATGTTACCCTTCACAGATCGATTAAAATGAGCAAAGAATATAATTGGAAAAAAATGGACAAAAATATATGTATAGATAAAGCACAGTGCGAAAATGAAATTAACTGTCAGCAAAATATTTTTAAAAAATTATTCTTTTGTTCTTTCAAATTTTAACATAGTTATGACTCAGTTTTTTAAACTTTTAACTCATTAAAACTTAGTTGTTAATTTTTTTTATTTAACAAATTAATTAATTTTTATCATACATAACTCATCCTTGGGGGAAAAGAAGTTTTTGGCACTGTTAAAAAACAAGCTGACGTGTTTGTTTTGCTTGCATACCCTGAGCTTGAGCTGGCTCATGATGAATAACACTATTTTCTTAAATGAGTTTCTCATTTTGTTCAGAGCTGCGCGCAATAATTTCAACTTTTTTTTTTTTGACAAAGAGCAATAATTTCAACTTTAATAAAGAAAAAGGCCGTAGTTACCGACTAGTCGACGATATTTGTCTCCTTTAGTCAATTATGCTTGTTTGTTTCTTTTTGTAATTACTTTTCTTAGGCGGATAGTGGTTTACACTGGGCAGTGTTCTGTATTAATGAAACTTCTGTCTTATTCCCAAAAAAAAAAAAAAGCTGATGTGACTTCTAAGGGAGCCTAACATGACTGAGAATATAATTACTACCTCATATTCTCACACCAGAGTTAGTTAACTAATTTAATTAAAAAAGTAATTAAATTAATTATTTATAATAAAGAGTTATGGTTTTTTCAAAAATATTTTTACTAATCAAGTATCTTGATTAGAACTACTATTATTATAAAAACTATCTTAAAAAAACATATGAGTACGTCAGACAAAGTACATTACATTCTTTTATTTAGGATCAAAATAAAAACCAAACAACCTCTTATATTAAGGATTCTGCATCTGCTACGTGGCTGGAGATAATAGAGGGTTGTGATAAAATCAATTTTTACATATTTTATCCCACATTAATCTAGGATTTAAATGATATTTGGGCTTAAAGGTTTCTTATGTATTATTGGATTAATGGATTGACTTTAGGATTTTCATAAAAATTGAGATGGATTGAAAATATGAATATTTTGTGATTTTTTATTTTTTTCTCCGAATTAATATTGTCTATTTTTTTAGAAACAAGTCTCATATTTTTAAAAAAATTGATATTTGGAGAGTTGTACAATTTCTTGTCTTATTTTTGTGTATACCTAATATTTAATTTTGATGTAGATTATATTATATTTAGATATAATCTCTATTAATAGATGCATTTAAATTTTTGTTAGTTAAAGAAAAGCATATAAAAAATCTAATAGTGCAAGATTTTTTTAAGAATTCAAATACAATCCAATGATTAATATAAAGTGGATCAATTAATTATTAATGAGTTTAAATTTTTGATCCAAATTTTTTTTCCTCCCATTAAAATATTTCCTTCATTCCATGGCCAGCATTGGCGTAAAATCTCTCCCTTCATCTCCGTTCCTCTGGTCTCACGCAGCTTCATCCATCAATCTCTTCCTTTTTGCCATTCAACTCATTAAAAAAATATCATTTTGTCCCACTTTTCCTATTGCATTCGACACACGTCACGCACCTACAATTCCTGTTCTTGATTCTAGGAGGAGACCACGTCATCGTCATCTTCCGCTTTTCACTCCTCATGGCCATGGCTTTTGACGACTTTAGAGTAAGAAGGATAATTTTTAAGGTAGCTTGAGCTTTTTGAGAGACAATTTGGGATAAGCATAGAGGAAGCTGAAGCCTTGAACTAGCACCTGAAGATCACAAGAAAGTAATATTCTACTTATCTTTTTAATTCAAAGATTTAAGATATTTAGTTTTAAATAATTTTGAGTTGTATTTTTGTGAGACAATTTAATTCTGGATTATCATTTTTATTCTTGAATTAGATTGATATGTGAATTTTATTTGTGTTGAGATACTTGCTAGAATTTTTGTTTATGAACCTTTGTATTGTTAGTTGAATTTATAATTGAATTTTCATTATAAATTTAATTATCAATGTAATTTGAGTTACACATTTTTTACCTAAAAAAAATTACAAATTTGGGTTCTTTGGAGTCTTGATTGTTTAATTGAGTTAGTAAATTATCTAATTGTTTGATTGGATAATTTTAAGCATAATTTTCACAATTAATTTAAATTATTTGTCATTGTCTTTAATGAGTTTAATTAATCAAATTTACATCATTATGAGTTTTCTAATAGTTAAGGGTTTTTTAAATTAAAGGTTTCTTTTGTTTCAAATAGATAATTAAACTTATTAATTTCATTCTCTTATCACTTTCTTTTCGTCTAATTAATTGATTTAGATTATGAAAGTTAACTTTATAAAAATCTTAAGTTGTTTCCTTTACTGTATCTGAAGAGAAACCTCTCACTTTTATTTGTTAATTTTTTTTGCTTTCCAGTTAATTTTCTTTATTTATCATTTTAATTTTTCCTTTAAAAAATCCCCCCAAAAAATTGTATTTGCATTCATTTAGTTTAATTTAATTTTTATAGAAATTTTAGGATATTTGCATCTTGTATTTAGAATTGGAATTTTGTATTTTATTTTAGGTCCATGTTATTGCATTTTTCATCACTTATATTTTTATCTAATGAAACTTATAACTTGCTCCTTAAAAGTAACAACCTAAGTTGATCATAAATTACAAATTAATTGGGACCTATTCTAATTAAGTGCTTTAGTAACAAAAGCATCATTATTGTGTTTAGATTAGTTGTGGTAAAATTAATTTTTATTTCGACTGACTTTTGTAAATTTAAGTTATGATCAAAATTAATTAACATAATGTGGTTTATATTTGAATTGGTGTTTATAAAAAATCATTTGAAAAGTTGAAACTTGTTTGTATAGACAATAAAAAGTATATTTAAATGTAAAATGACTAAAAAATTGCATGAGTTTTGTTAAATTATTATGTATATAATATAAGAATTCTAAGAAAAATATTAAAATTAAGATTATAAAAACAGTTAATATATTATTGAGAAAATTTGAAAATATTACATATAAAGTATCAATTCATTTTATTTCTAACATTTATCCATTTTACCTCAAATAAGTTTATGGTGATTATACATACTAAGGAGTTTTTGTCAACAGGTAGTTTTAATATATATGATTAATAATCATATTTTAAGTAAGACAATATCAATTTATTATAAATAAATGATTTAACTATTTTTTTAATATCCTCAAATTAAGTCTCAGGCTTTTATATTAAAGATAGATAATATCAAATTATTAGGTTTTTTAAGAATAATTTTGTCCCTTTTCCTTGTCATCTTTCCTTATTTCACGGTGCGTTAGTAAAGTTCCTCGTATCAGTTTTAGCATTAGAATGCCTTTTATCGAAACACACGCTCTGAGTCTCACTGGGACAACCAAACAAATATTGACCGAGGGAGACCGTGCTGGCTCTTCTTTTCTTTCTCTTTCCCTCTCCTTTCCGTGAACCTCCCCACAATGGAGAAGGACTAAAGAAAAAGGCGAATTTATTCAAAAAAGAGAGAAAGAGAGGGGAATTTTTGGAGGGGAATGAATGAGTCGGAAGCACATGAGCTTTTGTTGAACAGTGTCAATAATCTCTTCTATTACCTTGGACGAGTTACATATGATAAGAATTAAATTATTGCCTGTCTGTTTGGTTGAGCCTGTAAAGTGACTTATTAACTATTTATTGACTAAAAACTAGATTGAACAATTTTGATTGTATTTGGTTTCACTTTTAACCCAACTGATTTATAGGCCAAAAACAGTTTTTTTAAAGTACGATTATAAAAATATCTAAAATTTACTTACGACTTTTGTAAAATTAATTTTTTTGAATCAAAAAGCATTTTTGACTCTATATTTATGTTCTTCTTATATTTTTCTGTGCATATTTCTTGTGCTTCTCAATCAGTTTTAAATTATTTATTTATTTTTATTCTCTTAAATGAAAATAATTTTGAACATGGTTTTTATAATGTTTTTAATTTTTAATATTATTTTTTATTTTATAATTATATAAATTGTGTAGAGTATATCATCGAATTAATTATACTCTTCCTATCATAAATATAAAACCTATTTTATCATGTAAATCACACATACTACAAAAAAATATCTTATATTTAGAATCGGAAGAGTATAATAATGCTTTATTCAAAAATTTTCACATTAATATGATTTCTAATTTAAATATATTTTATTCATTAAATATACTTTTTTATTATAATAATTTAAAATTATATTATGTAAAATCTTATTTTTAATCATTTTTTATTATTATCCATTCTGATCATTCTACAAACTAAACCTACTAATTCAATCATTATCAAAACAACTTTTTTACTTTACAAATGAACTTTCGTAAAAATCAATCCAAATGTAAATCACATCACCGTATCTAACTTTTACCCAATCTAACTTTTATCAAAACCAAATTGAAAACAAGTTATTTTTTTTAGTACCAATCCAAACAGACCCTAAATAAAAACAAAAGTAAGGACTGAGTTTTAACTACATTCATAATTGAGGGATTTTGATCAATTTACATCCATAACTAAGAAATTTTGACCAATGTTCCCAAATTCTTATATTTAAGAACTTATAATTCATGATATTAAGATTTAAACATTTCAATAAAATTTACCATAACTTGTCTTTCCTTTGGCATGAAAAATAAACAAAATCTACAGAGTAAGAAATGAGGAATGAAAGAGGCAGAAAATGATCACTTGCCTCAGCATATAAGTTTACCTCAATCTTAAAGGTCTAAACATTCAGTGCAAACAGCAAAAATCAGCTAACAGAGCAGACGTCCACATCCATGTCCCATCAAAAAATTGAAGGAATTCCAGATGTGAGAATTTTTTTTTTATTTATTAATTTTGCAGACATGGGATCATTTTTTTCTTGATTTGTATTGCAAATATAATGCTTGGCTAGTCGGAAAAGCAATCTTCAAAAGGATTTGTAAGGCCTGATTACATTTGCAACCGATCACAGATGAATCCCCTATAACTTGAAGGCTGTAATTCATCAGGTCATCACATGTTCTGTATATATCTTAATTCTTCAGATAAAATTGTGAGGTAGGGGGAAAAAGGCGTATCATTTTTGGTTATATACCCAGAACCATTATCATAAGGTTTTACTCAGTTTCAGAACCTCCTTTAGCAACTGGTTGACTGAATTGTTTACTTTATCTGGAACAACCAGCTGAGGATGCACTAAAGACAAGGCATAAGAGCAAATGACCTTCATTGCCATAGCCAGATCCAAATTGTTGCTATCAGTCCGCCAAACACTTTGATCCGCAAACTTGCATGAATCTCTCAGCATGCATCTACTGCAAACCTGACGGATAACAAAATTGAAAATTTTGAAGTCAAGCAATTACAGCTTTATATAGTATTTTCTTTTTTTTTAAAAAAAATTTTTTGACAAAAATGCAGAAAGTATGTATACAAGATGTGCCTTACAGTGTTCTCTGGAATCTTAAAAAAGTATCGCAGTCTTTTGCAAGGATTGACTTGAGACCTCTTGGCAGACGGGCAGCCAAACATTGCCACCTCTTTCAGATGACTTCCTGAAAGCCATCTGTAAAATCCAACTTCATATTAGCACATATAAACATGGACATATAGAACTCAACCTGCTTATGTTCACAATATGAATATATTTTGCACATATTAAATAATCACGTTGATACAACACAATTGGATCGTATGACCTAGATGACCAGACTACCGCATATCACAAGCAGGACTCTTAAACGTGCAAGTTTCTTAGCATGCAACAAAATTTCAATCCTTTATGCTTTTTTATTGCCAAGAAACTGCATGCAATATTTGCTTTTCTTACGACTATTTAGTCTTCACTACACTGACTAGATTCTTAGGCTGTGAGTACCAGCTTAGGCCAAGATGAAATTGAAAACTACAAAGCCACTGATTAAACATCAATATTGGCAGCCTCCTCCTGCAACAAATTAATTTACCTAACTTCATGCAAACAGGATAATATAACTTTTCTAAGTTCATCGGTTGAACAATCAGAACAGCACTCATAAATTATCAAAGAGTCACTAGCAGAAAGCTAGACTTAAAAATGTCAAAGAATTAAGTTTGTGATATTATTGATAGCTAGATCTACATTCATCTTCTTATTCTGAGGCAAGGTCAGTTTTGTGGATCTTTAGCATATGCTGAAGGTAGCAAAAGTATCACAATGAAACTGCACCAGTTAAAAAAGAAAAAGATGGAAGGAAAAAAAAATCATGAACCAAAGAAACTAAAATGGATAGATGCCGCAAAAAATGCTCCAACTAGATGTCAAACAAAATGCACATCTAGAAGTCTAGAACAAACATACTCAACTCATCAAAATACACAGAAAAGATACGAGGGAACCCTGAAATATTCATATTTCTGGCTTAACACAAGCCACGAAACCCTATATTCAGCATCAACCACGTTTGGATAAGTCAAGTAGTAGACCAAGTATATACAAAACGAAAAAACGGCCCATCAGGAAGAGTGGAATAGGGCAACCTTTAAGCTACTCCCTTACAGGGTTTAAGCCTTGAAACTCAAGCTTCTAAAATCCAAAAGATCATCCCTAATCCCTATGGCAGAAATAATTGACAATCAACACCAATAGTCAAACGAGTAAACTCAAGTATCACAACAGGAAAGAGATCAAGGCCAAGAACTGAAGGAAGACATAAGTTTAAATGTTCATATTCTTCTATATGCATCTTCTCCATGAGTCCAACAAATGTAAGAGCGTTATCTTACTTGGAGATTTCTTGCTTGTCTCTGCAGAACTTCTGCACCGCTGACAATGTATAATGCCGGGCGTATTCAATATCGAACAAGCTAAGATCAAACTGTTTTGGCATCTCTAAAATACCCTTCTTTGTATAAATAAGATAGAAACGTTTCCATGTCCAACGAAAGCTTCTTTAAACCAACTGGCTCCCTCTGTTTCACTTCTTCATGCGTTTCATCAACAGGAGTGATTCCATGACTTAATCTCCCCAGATTAGCTTCCTTCGATTCCTCCCCTTGACCAAACAAATCATACAATCTCTTTGGTTCAGGTTTCTTTGGCTGCTCCACCTTAACTACCCCCTCCTCCTCCTCTATGAATTTTACTTCCCTGGGTTTCTTCAATTTCTTCTTCGGCTTCTTCTTTTTGTCTTCTACGCGTCCAACTTCACTTTTCTTATGCTCTGTCTTCTCCGACAAACCCCCGGCTTCACCTTCTTTCGGATTTTCCTGGAGCTCCCCCTTACCGATCTCCTCCTCTTCTATGAATTTTACTTTCGATTGCCTGGATTTCACCAATTTCTTCTCCGGTTTCTTCTTCTTCTCGACGTCTTTTACGGTTCCAACTTCACTGCCCTTGCTCCCTGTTTTCCCAGATAAACCAGCGGCTTCATCCCGTTTCAATTTTCCCTTGAGCTTCTCGTTTTTCGGAACGCTTCTCCGTTCTGGAGGTCTCTGAAAAAGAGAATGCAACGACTTTAAGGCATGCTTTCGGTCTGATTCTGCGAGGGCTTGAGAGGAAGAGGCGAAGGGTCTGCGATGAGACGGAGGGATTTTGTAGGAGTGAGGAGGGTTTGAAAGGATAATGTGATAGACGAAGGCGACATTTTGGGGCTCCAGAAGCGAATGCAAGCGACGAAAGAGAAGGTTTCTTGCTAAGGCCATGGGGTTTAGCTGACTGAGCTGTAGATCACAGCATTTGAGGAACTAGGGTTTAAGGGGGGTTCTCACTCGGACCAGAAAGGAGCAAACTTGAGAATGCCTTCTGGGAAAAAAAATAAAAAATACAAATTAAAGCACTCCTTTCTCTTCAATAACAACTGGGCTTCTTCCAAAAAGCGAAATCCAAACATCCCTGGCCCATTTTAGATTTTTTTCCAGGCCTGCCTGCCTACCACTGAAGTGAAGAAAAGAGGCAACAAGAAAGACAAAGCAGGAGATGTAATGGACATACTGGTGAGAGTTGAACCTAGTAGAAGAGATTAATTTCTCACAAAATGAATATTTAAATTCCAGTTAAAAGAGGTGTCTATATTTAATATCTAATAATTTCTTGAGCGGCATTACTTCCAATAAAAAGATATATGTGTCTACCAAAATAAACAGAGATGTAATGAAGAGAAGAAAGTAACTTCTGGGGGAGTTGAGAAATGCGCTGCAGTGGAGAAGCAGTTTCACCCCTGGGGAAATGAATATTTATTAATTAATAAGTACTGGTTTTTGAAATTTTTTACCACTAGAATGATTTTAAAAAAAAGGTAAGATTTCCTCTTTTTTATGCATAATGAGATTTACTTTTGTAATATTAGTTTTGAATTTTCTAGTTATATTGTTAATTTATTTTTCAAATTATTTTTGCATAAAGAAAGATAATGACGTGTGGAAGAAAGATGACTCCAGGTTTCATCAAGCATTACCAGAGGGATTGTTTCCCCTTCGTTCATCAGAAGCGAGGATTGAAGCCGTCGCCGGTGGGAGCTCTAGTTTGGTCTTGGAACGTGATGCTGCATGTCTTTGCTTTGTTTTGTTTTGTTTTGTTTTTTTGTTGCTAAAGTATAGGTATTCTCCTATTAGAATCAATCCTATTCGATGTACTGTTGGGTACTAGGGATAATAGTTTACTAATTTGCAAATTGTTTTCTCACTACATGCTTAAAAAATTTCATATGCCGATTTATTTACGAACAATATCTCCCCTTACATATGGTTTTGTTTACCCAACATTGAGATATACACATTTAACCAATTGTTCATTGAACACAAAATGATCGATATACGCATCTCTGTAAATTCATTAAATAAATCAATAAACATTCACTTATCACATACTATCTAATCATCATCAATACATGTCCACCCACTACCTACGAAATATTGTTCATTGAATGTAAAATACAAACTTCACTTTATATATATATATATATATATATATATATATTTATTCATCTGCAAATCTGTTCACAATACATGTATTGGAAATTAGAGAGAAGCCACAAAAGATGATTGCCAAAAGACGGGATAAAGACTGATATAATAAGCATTCAACTGAGAAAATTCATCTAACAATAAAAATTTCACCTTAATTCACTTAAAAAATATTATAAAATATAAAATTACAACACCAACAAGATTCCATAATATATACTCCTTCGATCTTTGATATAGGATCTAATTATTGAGTTGATTTTAATCTTAAATATAAAATCGCTTTCTCATATTTATCAGTTTTTTCTAAATTACTCATATTGATACTCGCTTAACTATAATCAAGTAGGAAAGGGAGGAGAATATTAAGAAAGATAATTATACTGTTTGAAGCAAAACATGTCATATTTCTTATAATTAACTTATTTACCTAACTTTTTTATTTAATCAAATTAATTAAATAAGTTTTATATTAAGGATCAGAAAAGTGTGTATATATATATGTTCTCGCCATGGTCATCTGTCCAATAATATACTACTTTTGGTCCTAATTATAAGATTTTATTTGTAGACTATAAATGAGTTCTTATAATTAGGATAGGAAGCTAGTGTGCGTGTATATATATGTGTGTATATTCTCCCGATCGTCATCTGTCCAGTAATCACTAATAGTATGGCAGAAGCTCATAATCCCACTGTTCCTCTCTCCCTCTCCTTCCTCCTCGTCACCTGCATTTCTGGCTTTTTATTCCTTACCGAAGCAACCAACCATGGCTTTAGTGTAGAACTAATCCACCGAGACTCTGCAAAATCTCCACTCTATACTGAATCATCACAGGTGCAGAAACTTCACAGCTCCTTCCTTCACTCCATCAAACGAGCCAATTGCTTCTACCCTAATACTGAAACCGATGAAGCCGAGGAAGATTTACCAGAATCTGAAGTAATCCCTATTACAGGAGAATTCATCATGGCCTATTCCTTAGGAACACCACCTTTCAAAATCTTTGGAATAGCAGACACAGGCAGTGACCTTGTTTGGTCACAGTGTTTACCTTGTCGTAATTGCTATAACCAAATAGCCCCCTCATTCGATCGTTCTAAATCCTCAACCTTCAAAAACATCTCTTGCTTCGACCAAAAATGTACATCCATAGTTCCCCGTGAGGTTCAGACATGTTGTGAGGATGGAACAAAACTTTGTCAGTACGACGTACAGTACGCGGATCACTTAGTTTCAATCGGAAACATCACATCAGGCACACTGACACTTGGCTCTACCAGTGGTCGCCAAGTGGCGTTTCCTAACATTGTGGTTGGTTGTGGGTATATTGATGGTCCATTTAGTGAAACAACTTCTGGGATTGTTGGTCTCGGAGGAGGTTCGATTTCTTTAGTTTCTCAGATAAGTTCTTCCATTGATGGTAAATTCTCATACTGCTTGGCCCCATTGTCGAGTAATCGAACGACCAAGTTGAATTTTGGAGCAAACGGTGTCGTTTCTGGAGCAGGGACTGTTTTTACTCCAATGTTTTGGAAAGATCCAGCGGCTTTCTATTACTTTACGTTGGAAGCAATTAATGTTGGAGACAAAAGGATAGCCTTTACATCATCAGGTGATTCGATTTTATCTCATCAATCACTAATTTATGTTTGTTAATAATGAGAAATAAGAAAAAAAAAAATTAAGTCAAGATAGCTATCAATTAAGTTATGAATGCTTACCCATTAGCGATACACTTTTGGACATGTGAGACTCGTTTTGACAGTGGATATAATTTCTTTTAATGAAAAATGAGCGAGTAAATTGATGAAAATATTTGTTTTTAATTCGTAGAATTGTATATATGCACTGTAATAATTTGATCAGATAGAACTCATGTTCTTGTCTTATTCGAATTATTTATACCAGGTCATTAATTTGATTTCTTTGGTTCACGCCCTCTTCTTTAGTTACATGATCATATCATCTCAAAGCAATGTTTTAATTAAAAAAAATGGCCAAGGTTGACTTACAATTTGATCATACTGATTTGTTAAACGACACCACACACAGCAGAATTATCCATAACCATATATTTAGGCGTGATGTAGATTAGATTATAACCCAAATTTTTAATTTTTAATTAGGTGCATTATATTATTTGTGTTGATGCTATAAGAAAAGGACTTGGTTTGCATGTAGGTGGCTCAGTGGAGGGGGGGGGCAAATAATTGATTCAGGAACAACACTGACTTTGCTTCCACAAGACTTCTATTCAAAACTTGAAGCAGAAGTTGCTTCACAAGTGAAATTACAACGTGTTTAAGACCCATTAAAGATTTTGAGCCTTTGTTATAAGTCTTCGTCGCAAAGCATTGAAGCTCCCTTAAGGCTGCTCATTTTAAAGGTGCAGATGTAAGGTTAAGTACACTAACAGCTTCACTAAAGTTTCTGGGATGTGTTTTGTTTTGCTTTCCCTCATTTTCAAGTGGTGCTGTGTTTGGGAACATCGCACAGACGAACTTCTTGGTGGGTCATGATATTCAGAAGAAGTTGGTTTCCTTCAAGCCACTGGATTGCACCAAGCTTTGATTTTTATGTTTTCTGTCATTAATAATTATTAAACTGTTTTTCTTGGCCAGATTATCATGTGTAAACTCGATTATTTACGTGGAAATTGGAACTTTGTTTGTTTTGACTACTGAGAAGAATTAGTACAACTCGAACTGTATCTGAAGTAAATAATAGTAATATACAATGCCTAAACTGTGATTCTCTTTTTTTCGTTAATATTGACGACGTATATGAGAATATGAACTTAGCTCAAAATTACTAAATTCCAAATAAAGAATTGCAACAAAAATATTATATTTATAAGTCCAGTCTTGTCAAAACCTATTAAAATGTTATTATTAATAATTTCAGTTTTTTTTTTGTGTAACTCTTTTAATTTAAAACTTTATATGACAGTAGCATGATGGATTGAAAGACATAGCGTGAATCTTAACGACGAAACATTTTGATATGGATGATTTTGATTTATTTTTATTATTGAAGGTACTATATAGAGATAAGTGTAGACTAAAGTATATATTTACTTAAATTGCTGTTTAATCACCCAATTGATAAAGTATATTTTTAGTCTATTACTTTTAAAACTGTTAATCTTATTGAAGGAAAATGCTCACTCAACCAATTAGATGATAACATATGCAATCTAATAGCCACTAAACATACTTAAATTTTAATTATTTAATATAATGGTGTTTTTTCCGGTAAATATATGTATTTTTTAATTGGAAGCAATCCTATTGAAAGTACTGTTATGTACTAAATATAACTACTTCTCTTAACAGAAATTCAAACTTAATTTATCATATTGTGATGGACTAGCATTTTTTGCCGTTAGACTAACTCTGTTGGTAATATAACGATATGTTTTAAAATTAAAATATACAAATATGCAAATTTGTACAATTGAAGCCCACATTGAGGTCTTCGGCTTTTTGTTATTGGGCCCGAAACAATTATACTTTTGATCCCATAAGAACTTTCCAGAGAAAGGGGAGAAAAACAATCAAATTGGTGCAAAGAAGATAAGAACAAGTTCACGTGAGACCGATGTACAAGATCAATTAATGTTTGCCACTTTGCTTCTGAATATGTCACTGGTATGTAGCAGGGAGAAGTTTTAGTCCAAACTGTAAGTTATTTGTAATATATTTAATCTTTTTTTTTTTCAATTTTATCCTTATAATTTGATTCTTGTTGAAAAGAGCAAAAGAAGAGAGATATATGTCAATGATTTATAAATATAGGGAAAGTGAA